TGGGTCATTGCTCATTAAAACAGGCCCTGGTGAGGCTGGGAATGGAGCTGACACCTACCCCTCACCCCCCTTCCCCGCCCAACACGGCAGCTGGAGGTGCCTGGGGCTATAGATCTCCTGCACCCCCTCCCTCCCACCCTGGTCTCTTTGGTCCCTGCCTGAGACCTGCCATTTTCCATGCCGATTCCGACAGCCTGGGGGCGGAGAGGGACAACTTCAGATGTCCTCAAAGACAGGGATTCAACATGTATGAAAACCAGGCCACTTCTCCCAGGCCTGCCCCAAGGCCTATCTCAGAGTCCACCCCTTTCAGCCTCATTTAGGAAGCCTGACATGTCCACCCCTCACCCACTACCCCCCTATCCCCCGGGCATGGTTCACCAGGACCTGGGACTCAGAGCACCCAAAGGTCACCTCTCCCGGCAGAGCTGTGTCCTTTCCTGACTGCAGACAGAGAGGCCGTCCTCCCTGGACACAGCAAGGCAGCAGGCACCCACATGGGAGTGGGGGCTCATTTTGTCTTGCTTAGAAGTCTCCCACACTCTGCCTAAGTTAAATTTTGCCCTCGGGGTCTGGGACCTCTGGATTAGTCAGGGGCTGTTTCGATCTGAACAAAAGCCACGGCCTAGCCCGTGCCTCCCCAGAGGCGGCCAGCCCCTCCTGGGGCCACAGCCAGTCTAATGCACGATCAGGGCTGTGGACTGAGGCTAAGGCCCTGGGCTTCCTTATCCCCCTGCTGACCCGAGCCCGGCCACCTCCCTCTTGTCTCTGACTCTGCCACACAGCCTGCCCTGCGTCCCTTACCCTCCTGGGCAAAGGCCTGCAACCCTAGGGTCTAAGTCTGAGGGAGGAGTGATTAGGAGTCAGGCTGTTGACTGCAAGGTTCGAGACCACCAGTGGCCCCTGAGCCACACAGAGGCTCTCTATCCCCGCAGAGTTACAGTCTCAGAAACCCACTGGGGTTTTGACTTGATGGCAGTGAATTTGAGTTTGGGCCACCTCGATGAAGTCCTCAAAGCACCACCAGATGGCGAGCGAGATAAACTGACCCGAACTGCCCTGCCGGGCAGAACAAGGTCCAGGGTCCTAAGCTAAGGCCTGGCACAGGGAGGGGACGGGGGAGTCCCAGGTCTCCTCCCAGCAGCTTGCTTAGAACATTTGCCCACAGCCTTTGCGGTCAGGTCTGGGCTTTGGCTTCACTGGGCTTTCACTTCCTGCTGCCTCCCTGCTAGGTCAGAGGGCCTAGCAGGTCATCCCTCTGGGGCCTGTGTCTTGGGTCTCTCTGCTTTTCATTCCCGCTACACCTTCCAGGCTGGAAGGAAACTGCTCTGCACCCTAGGGCTCTCTGCCTTACACTGGAGTGTGCTTGGCACAGGCATGCTGGTGGTTGGGTACGTGGTGGGTGGGCCAGCCAGGGGCAGCTTAGTCAGGGTGGGGGTGGGGGCGAGGGCAAGGATAGCTCAGGCAGCCTGTGAGGCCCCTGATCCAAATGACAGGAGGCTGTTTTTCCTTTCTGCAGACCCTGTTTCTAGCAGCTGTTGGTTCCTCTGGTTTCTGCTTCTCCCCCAGACTGCGCCTCCCACCCCCCAGCCCAGCTTTGGAGGACCCCCTCCAATTCTTAGACCTGGTACTCTCCACATGCCTTGGGTGCCCAGATGATTGGGGGTTCGCCTTTAAGCTGCTTTCCTTCCTGAGCTCAAAGGGCATAGGGCAGGCCTTTTCTTGTCAGCCATCCAAGCCTTAGCGGGGAGGGTTGTAGAGAACTCCCCACTCAACACCCTCCTCTTTTCGTTAAACTGGAGAAACCGAGGTCCAGAGGTCATGACGTGCGCATGATCTCAGAGAAACAACCCAGGGGAGCCCTGGCGGCATCGTGGTTACCCATTGGGCTGTGAGCCTCAAGATGGGCAGTTTGAAACCACCAGCTGCCCTGCCGGAGAAAGAGGAGGCCTTCTATTCCCGTAAAGAGTCCCAGTCTTGGAAAAATCACAGGGGCACTGCTACCCTGTCCTGTGGGGCCCCTAGAGTCTGCATCGACTTCAGACTTCACGGCAGGGACTTTGGTGTTTGTCCTGGTAAACAGCCCAGGGCTCTGTCTTCTGGACCTTGGCGGGGTCTGTGGGAGGAGGGGTCAGGGAGGGTGAGTGATGTGCCCCTGGGTGAGAGACTCGTGGACTCATGGACTCATTATTGCCCAGGCTCCTCTTATCCCTCAGGCCTCGGGGTAGCAGGGGTGTGAGACCCTCAGGGAGAAATAGGGCTCCTGTGGCCTTGGGTCCCCAGCCCTGCTCTGCACCAGCAACCCTTCCTGGCACGGGGGTTCTCTCACTGGAATTCAGCAGACACTGCTGACCTGGGGGTGGCGGAGCAGAAAAGGACCACCTTTTCTCCCACCAACCGCAGACACGTCCATGGTGGGGCGCCTCCGGGAGGGAGCATGGCTCTCCTGGCCATGCTGGGCCATGGATCAATGAGGGTTGGCTGGGGCCGGTCTTACCTGGCTCTCAGCCCCTCTTATCCCGAGTGACCACTCAGAGCATGAGCCTCTCCAAGGGGCTTGGCTGGGCTGGAACAGGGCTTTGGAAGAGGTTTTTTTTTTTTTGTAGATCTGAGCTTTGGGGGGTTGGGGGAGAGAAAGACAGGCTGTTGATGCCCATCAAGAGTGACAGTCTCCGACACTCACAGGGGCAATTCTACCCTGTCCTCTAGGGTCGCTAGGAGTGGGCATTGACTCAACGGCAGTGGGTTTGCTTTGGGGAGCTGAGCGCTTACCACCTCCCATTCTCTTTTTATCAGCTTGGCATCTCTCCCTGGTTCCAGCCGGGCGGCTGCCTTGCAAGTTTGTAGGGCGTTCGTCCAGGTTGATGGTGATCACATGCATTGCCAGGCGGTAGCTGTTTCTCAGCCTTCCTCTTAGCCAGACTGCCTCTGCTTCCTCCTTCATCTCCCTGGCACCTGCACCCTCCTCTACCTACCTGCGTGGTCCCCATGACACGTCCATCTTGCACCCCATCGTGGGCACCTTCTCTGCAAGAACGATTGGGGCCTTTGGACTGAGCATCCTTGACCGTTTCGGGGACCCCCAGCAGCTGCCAGCTGCGTTGTTGGATCAAAGACTGGAACTACCTCCTCTCGGCCACATGTGGGACCATGAGGCTTGGGGGAGGGGTGGGGGTGTTGGCTTATTTTGGGGCCCCCGCTGGCATGCCTTGGCAGCCATCTCCTCATAATCAAGGTTCTCCGAGTGCTTGGTTCCCACCACAGCCAGTCTGGGACCCCCAGCCCTGTTTCAGAGGGGACTACAGAGGTGGCTGTGCACCTGCCCATAGAGAACTCTGGTTCCACCTCACACTTGCTACTGCCTGAGCCAGTGACTCATTTACTCACTCACTCATCTACCTATCTATCACCTCTTATACCTAAACTGCTTGAGAGCCAGCAGCGACTGATTGACTGACTGACTGACTGACTCACTCCTCACTCACCTGTTGATCAGCTCATACCTGCAACTGCCTGAGGCAGCGACTGACGGCCTCACCTGACTACCCAGCAGCTCAGAGCTGAGTGTGTGTTATGGGTGGGGTGGGGTGGGGTGGAGTGCAGCTTCAGAGGGATGTATCCGATGGCAGTGCTTATCTCAAAGCAAGGCTGGGGCAGCACTGGTGGAATTTCAAGCACTTCGGAAGCAAGGTGGAGGCAGGGGCGGCAGTGGCTGTTGGTTTTTCTGGGCAAGGCCTTTCTCCACCCTCTCAGCTCACCCCAGCATGGTCCCATGATGGGATGCTGCCTTCCACCCTTTGGTCAGGAGAGACACCCGGGACCAGGATAAGGTACACGGATCCCCTGCCTTGGCGCAGGATCCAACGTTGCACCTTCCCACCAGCTGGGCGCACCAACAAAGTGGGACACCAGGACTGCCTCTGAGCTCAGAGCTGAGTCCGGCAGCTCCTGGGCAGACCTCAGTCCCCATTGCCACCTAGAGGAGTGGCTGGAAGAGGGGGAGGGCCACCCTGCACCGGCCAACGGGGTCAGAGCAGAGAGACCTCGGCCTGGAAGCTGGAGGAGCGGCGTGCACCTGGGCTGACGCGAGTCAGCATGGAGACCTGGGTGCTGCAGGTGGCACCGTTGCTACCTCCCGAAGGGTGCTGGAATTTGGAGTTGCGGCCTCCAAAGCCCTGGAGGTGCCAGCGCCGCCACTTCCGTCGAAGTTCAGCCTGCACCTGGGAGAAGGGCGGGAGGTCAGGCCCCGCCCTGGAGCTCCCTCTGCTGCTGATTAGGCAACTCTTGACTTGGGACACTGAGCGAGCCAATCATATCCTTCTCTGCGGGTGTCTGT